TTTGATATTCGTCAATTTTGACCACGTGATTCTTTTTGTCGCTGAAACAACCGGTTTGAGCAGCCCGTGAAAATTCACCTTTACTCTTTTATAGCGTTTTCGGCCCGACCGGGTTTGCACCAACCTGGGTTGGATTAATGGCGTTTTGCGCTCTCCTGGTAGAGCGTGTGACATCAACCAATAGGAAAGATTAATCCAACCCAGGTTGGTGCAAACCCGATCGGGCCGAAAACGCTATTAAGGCCTGTCTACAATACAGTGAGTAAGAAGTAAGAGTAAGAAATTGGCCAATCACAGTCGATTATTCTTCTCACATTCGACTGTGATTGGTCAATTTTTTACTCTTACTTCTTACTCCGTGTATTGTAGACGACGCCGTAGGAAAACAAGCATCGTGTACCGCCGGCTTTAGCGACATTTTCGATTCTGGCCGTATCGACGCTGTACAGAGTCGGGGCCATTCACACAAGAAGAAGATAAGTGACAGTCGACGCATGCGTGATGAATTGTGATTTGAATTTGAACGGCGCAACGTTTATTCGTTTAGTCTTCCATCGACGGTGATACGACGAATATTCGTGATTCTCGCGAGCGTTTTTCGATCATACAATAAATAGATTTTCATTAGTGCGTTTCCCGATTATACGATAAATACGAGGCTTGCTTCCTTGAAATATTTAAGAACCGAACCACAATGTCAGACAGCATAAAAGTGGCTATTAAAGTCAGGCCTCTCATCAAGCGAGAAAAGGATGAAAATTCATCGACACACTGGGTCACCAGTGAAAACGCCATTGTAGCTATCGATCCTGAAGTTAGAAAGCGATCTGATGGTAGATTCGAGTTTGGTACGTCAATATGTTATGTGAAATTAGTACGAATGCAAATTTCGAAACACGTGTTCCGGGCACGTTTCATTTTTCTCGACGTATCTCCCTTGAAAAATATATTTTTGTATTTACATTTTCTTTTGATTTTTTACTTTTTCTTTTTCCTTCAATTTAAAATGTTTCATTTCTTTAGATATAAAATACGTATACATCATGAAGTACTACTAAAGAAGTATCATTCAATGTTAATTTGTATCATTGCCATGTGAGGTTATAATTTTTCCAGCCATCTTTTTATCCTTTGACCTTGATATAAGATTCACAAATTATGTTTACATTTGTAGATCATATTTTTGATACGAACGCCAATAACAACGATGTATTTAATGTTGTAAAGCCTATTGTCGATGCTGCTGTAAATGGATTTAATGGCACAGTGTTCGCTTATGGACAGACAAGTTCTGGTAAAACTTATACCATGATGGGTACTCTGGAAGAACCTGGCATAGTACCTTTGGCTGTTGAGCATATATTTGATGCAATAACCGATATTCCAGGACGGGAGTTTTTATTAAGGTAAATATATCTGACAAAAAAGAATAATTTACTTAGCTAAGAGAGTTTAGAATATATCTTGTGACAAAAATATAATTTAATTAAATAAGAGTTTAGAACTCTTATCTATTTTTCAAAACCTATCTGTATAAGTTATAATAGGTCTGTTCGCATTACTTACACTTTTTTTGCACTCTGCATCTTTGCTTACTCTTTTCAAAGCCAAATATATATCATTTTAAGTACAAAAATATTTGGGAATTTCATGCAACGCGAACAGACCTAAAATCAATAACATGGATCTTAAGGTGACCCTACAATATCAATAATACTGACTATGTTTACACTATGCATAGTCGGCAATCTATATGATACCTATTGTATAAGCCATGGCCTAAATGCGTGGTGTAAACGTAACCTCTGTCAGTATCAACAAATATTGACAGTATTACTGATCGTGTGTTGTTAAAATTGGTGGATTGACATAGGATATGGACGATGATCTAGATTTGATTTTCAAGCCAATATTGTTAAGATCCATGTCACTGTATGTTAATGCAATAGATATTGTACATAAAACTAAAGTTAAAATTAAGTTAATATATTATCAATGATACTGATTGTGTAAGGTTGTAAAAATACTAAAAGCATCGATGCATACTATCAGTATTACTAATTTAATATTATTGATCAATATTATTGACTATGCAGGGTCCACCTTTAATCAATAATCTATCAGTATTAACAAATACTATTAATATTATTGATTATATATGATTAGTATTGATATAGATTATGGATTGTTATAGATTATAGAATATTGATAGTGATCTAGATTTCTTTATTCTTTAATATCAGTACTTTCTATCACAGCAATACTATTGCTTAAAAATCAAGAATCTAAATTACCGCCTGTAATATTGTTAGTATTTGTTGATTCTGACAGTATTATTAAATGTGTAAGATTAGTAAAAAGAGTACTTTAGCACTTTTGTTAGTATAGTTGCACAATTATATAGAACTGAGCTGAAATAAGGCTATCAATAATATTTGTCAATAATATTGATTATGTAATATTGCAAAAATGTTGATGTGTATTGTTGGTATTACTGATTCAATATTACTGTTCAGTATTGGTCATTTAAAATTCATATAAGAAGTATAACATTTTATAACAATATATTAATATTTCAGAGTATCATACCTAGAGATTTATAATGAAAAAGTTAATGATCTCTTAAACAAAAACCAAGACAAAAACTCAACAGATTTGAAAGTACATGAAGATGTAAATGGTCAAGTATTCGTAGAGTGTAAGGAAGAAGTTACAAATAGTCCAGAGAATGTTTTAGCAATAATGAATAAAGGCAATAAAAGCAGAAGAATAGGCGAAACAAACATGAATGAGCGAAGTAGCAGAAGCCATACGATATTTAGAATTGTAAGAACAATTTCCATTAATACTATATGTGAGATATTTTAAAAAAGAAAATGGTTTTATTATTATTACTACATAAAGTAACCTGTATATAACAGATATAAATTACTATGATTGCAAACTTTTATTATTCATTGCAATGCAAAAAAAAATCTAGTTTACGCTATGTATATTATAGATTTTTAGTACTTGTAATGGATAATGGGATACAGCCTATACCTAGATATAATAATCCATATATTTCCATAAATTTGAGAGTTGTAACACAATGACATTATTGCAGACGATTGAAAGTCGTGAGGCTGATGCAGGTTCAGATAGTGCAATACAAGTTTCCCAATTAAATATGGTTGATCTAGCTGGTTCAGAAAGAGCTCGTCAGACAGGTGCTACTGGAGAACGTTTCAAGGAAGGACGTCATATTAACTTATCACTTTCAACATTGGCCTTAGTAATAAAACAATTGAGTGAATCACAAGACTATGTAAATTTTCGAAACAGTAAATTAACAAGATTACTTCAAACTTCTTTGGGTGGCAACGCAATGACAGTGATGATATGTGCAGTAACACCAGCTGCATTAGATGAGACTCGATGCACATTATCGTTAGTATTTTTTCTTCTGTTTACGTTAGGCCTCTAGCCTATTATACCTCTCTCATATGTTTGTGGGGCGCACGCTGATTATTCAATTGCCACAAGTATATGGGACCTATATTTTTAACGCCGGTTCCGAACGGCGAATTTTTCGTGAAGTATTTCTGTGAGCAAGGATACTCTTGGAAGGTTACTCTTTTTTTTCCGAGAGGAAACACGAGCATAAATATTTTGATTTCTACCAGGGTCAAACTCGGAATTTCTGACATGACAGACCAGTGCGCTGTCTGCCATGCCTCGCTCGTGCTCTAGTATTTTTGAAATTATTTGATGTATATTAACGTAGTGTAACTGATTTTTTATTTTTTAATGAATAGGTTTGCATCTAGAGCTAGAAATGTAAAAAATAACCCTAAATTGAACGAAGTTATGTCTGACGGTGTACTTTTAAAACGATATGCAAAACAACTAGATAAATTACACACAGAATTAGAGGTAAATGTATGTTATAAATGTTTTATTTTGGGTTATTATGGAAAATTTTTTGATTGAATTTTCTACACGATCACACGATAAAATCTTTTAATCTTTACAGTACCAGGCACAAAGCGATGTCTCACCGATATAAGTCTAGGTATTTCAAATCCGTCCATTTTTTAATCTATTCAAAATAGAGTTCAAAAAAATTTCTAAAAATTTACGAACACACTTTCAATTTTCTAGAACAAATGTTTAGACTTCTTTTGGGAAATAATAAAATGTATATATTATTTAATTTGTCGAATTTGTGAGAAATTTGCACGAACAGAAGTCGGATACGAAATATCCAGAATAGTATCGTAAGGAGCAAATATTTAAATAATATCTTAAGATCTTTTAACTTATATGATAAATTCATGTTTTTAGAGAATGAAACAGTTAACTCAAACAACTGATTTTCAAAAAATGGAATCTAAAATCCAAGAGAAAGATCGTATTAATCAGAATCTAGAAGAGCGTATTAGATTACTGCAAACTCGGATTATCACTGCCGCTAATTGCAATACTGTAGTATCGTTCAAGACTAAAGAAAAAAGGAGACAGACTTGGTGTGGCACTGGTGGATTTAATAAATTAGATAATACATCTTTACTTGCACAAATGTGCTCGCATTTATCACCAATCAAGGAAATATCACCTATCAAATCACATATTAGATATAAATCGGATACTACTATAGATTCATGTGTGTTAATTTTTCATACTATGCAAATTGAATATTTTGATAAACTGAATTATAAATTAAAGATATGTGTATTATTCTTATAGCATTCCAAATAGCCTTTGCCGATTTTGAGCTGGAACTTATGAATAGTGAAGCAAATCGTGACGAAGACATCAGTAGCGATGAGGATCCATTTGTTACATATCGTGACAAACACCGCGTAAAATTTACCGATGATGTAATTGTCAAATCACCTATAAACTATAGCAACGATAACATCACATTTGATAAAATTGAGGCGTCCACTCAAACTGTAAGGTAAGTAGTACAGAAAAATTAATTTGATTTTGTTTTACAATTATTTTAATCATTCTTTGTTTATAACTAGCAATAACTCACCCGATACACCAAAGCATACTCTGCGAGATAGAATCCGTAATTTGACGGAAGAATATTCAGAGCTTAAGGAATTCACAACCTTGGAAAAACAGCTACATTGCGAAGACCATTTATCTGAACTCCAGGAAAAACGTTCACAGTTTAAAAAGCAATTGGAAAATGTTACATCTGATAAGGACGCTTTCGAACATATAGCATCTAAACTTCGTAAAAAGTTAACTGCAGCTGAATTACAATATACTTTAGCAGAAGATCTATTAAACGTTCAAGCAGTAGAGTTAGAGAGAATACCAGATTTAGAAAAAAAAATTGCGCAGTTGTCTGCACAAAAAATAGAGGTGCCAAACGTTCCTGATCTATACAAACAGATAGCTGTTCTTATAGCTGAAAAAGATAGATACGAACATGTGGCATCTGAACTGCGAAAAAAACTTAATGAAGCCGAACAACGCAATATTATATTAGAAGATAAATTAACACGAAATGTAGAATTAGAAATACCATCTATTCAAACTTTGTCGAATAATGAGATCATTTCATCTGAAAAAGATGAACTGCAATGTAAAATAACTGATCTGCAAAATAAGCTAATAACAGAAGCAGAGTCAAACAATAATTCGATAAAAGATAAACTGGAGGAGCAACAACAAATGCTACAAAATCTTGAAGAAGAAAAAAATATAGTTGATATAGACGATTTATCGATTACGAAGATGTCTTTAGACGATAGTGCTAAGTTATCTCCAGATCTTGTTTCAAAAAATCAGGAATTAGATGAAATAAAGCACATTGTGCAAAGCTTGAAAGTAGACATAGAAAACTTGCAACAAACTGTATATTTATTAACAACCGAGAACAGCGAATTGGCAAATAAATTAGCAACAGAAAAGGAATGTAACGAGAAATCGGCTATTTACTATCAGCAGACTATCGATGAGCTTTACGAGCGAAACTCAAAGATAATGGATGAAAAACTCGAGCTCGAGAATAATTTAACAAATCTTAATGAACAATTAGAAACTCTTCGCTCGAGGATGCCTGAGATAAACTTAAACGAAGAGCAGATAATTCAAAAGTATGAAAAACAGATCAGTGAATTTCAGGCAAGAAATATAGAATTGTTGTCCCATATCACAGACCGAACGAAAGAGCTTGAAATGTTGAAAGAGAGTAAGTCGCTTTTGTATGAACACGATTGTATATATAAAGATAAATTAACGAATCTAACGGAGAAACATAAGCATTTAATAGCTGAAAACGGTGATCTTTCCACTAATTTAATGGATAAAATCGAGGAAAACGAAGGATTAAAACAAGAATGTGATATTCTAAAAAACAAACTAGAATTATCACTGAAAAATAAAGAGAGCATTGGTAACAATGATGTGGAGCAGTTGAGAATGGAGAATACTGTATTGAAAACCGAGCTGATGGAACTCAAAACTAACTTAAAAGTTTTAACCGAAGAAAATTCGAAAATATCCAGTCAATTAATAGAAACTATAGAAGATTTAGATAATGCACGAAAACTCAATTCTGACAACAATACCATGCATTTGTCGACATTATTTAATAGTACCTTGATGACTGATGCAATGGATAAATCTGCGTTAGATGATGATGCTGAAACACAAATCGTAAATCTGCAAGAGGAAGTTAATCATCTCACAAATCTCAACAGAAAACTGAGCAATCTAAAATTAGGTACCTGTACACAATGTAGCCACTTGAATGAGTTAAACGAAAATCGAAGAATGCTGAAGCTCGAAGTAAAAACTCTTAATCGTAAATTGGAAAACTTGCAGAGGAAATTCTCTAGCAAATCCGCAAAGAGTGACGCGCTCATATTGAAGGCCAAAGAAGATTTAAACGTAAGTGCGTATAACTTGTCTCTTAATGCCAGTTTTTCGGAGAACATGAATGTCACTTGCGTTGAGGAAAGACTTCAATCTCTAAATAACGAATTACAAATTTTGAAAGAAGATCATGATAAGCTATCGGATTTATATAAAGAGAAATGTAATGAAGTCGAAGAATTACAGAATAGCACCATCACGGATTCATCATCGACTGATGACAAGAATTTCAGCATAAAGAAGTTCCCAAGTAGAACTTCGTTAAGACTAGAAAATATCGTGAAAGTTATGAACGATTTACAAAATGATTTCAAGACGATAAAGGAGAACAACGAAAGTGTCAAGTCAGATCTTACCAAGTTCATTAACGAAAAAGAAAGAATGCTATTGGATGAAATTAATACTTTGAAGACCATTAATGACGAATTGTTGCAGAAATTGTCGGAAAGTGAACTCTTGCATGCTATTACGTTGGAGAAAGCCGATATTCTTGAAAATGAGGTACAAGATATGACAAAAAAATTGCAGGAGTTTACTATAAAATATAAAGAAGTTGAAAATGCAAAGTTGCTTTTTGAGGTTGAAGTAGATAGCTTGAAGGAAGACAAATTGATGAAAGAGCAAACAGCAAACGAATTACGTCAAAGCCATTCCTGTCTGGAACAGGAATTAAATTTAATAAAGAAAGAGAAAGAAGAGCTTAACAACGACTTTATTCTTTTGGAACAAGAATATAATATAAAGAATGAAAAACTAGATTCACTAAAAGCAATGAACGACAAGTTAACCAGCTCTAAAGCAGCTCTCTCACTGGAACTCACTAATTGTATTAAAGAATCAGAAAATAGATTGATGGAACTTAATGAAAAAATAAATAAATGCAATTCCGAAAACGATTATCTAAAACAGGAACTGATCAAGCTACGCGACATAGAAAATAAATTTGAGAAGATGAAAACTGAATATCAGTCTCTGTCACAGCAAGATAAAACATTAGCTGATGATAACAAGAAGCTCAAAAATGTATTGAATGACAGTTCTAAGAACATAATTAAGGAAATAAAATCTCTCGAACCTAAAGTCGATACTCAGAAATTTGTGGATAAATCAGTGGATGAGCTGTTCCAGATATTTATGCAAACTATTTTGATGAAAGAGAAGGAAGTAATAAAAACTATGCGGGAGAATTTCGATAAGGAGAAGCAAAAGCTCGAAGATGAAAAGCGGCAGAGTGTAGACTCGGAGAAACGTACATTGCTGTGGGTGAAAAAACTAGAGTGTGAGATAGAGAAACTTCAAAAGGATCTATCCGAGCGAGAAATTGCATCCGAGGACTTACAGAAAGAAATTACACATTTAGGACACCTTTTGGAAGAAAGTAATCGCGATAGAGAGATATTGAGAGAGAAGAATAGCCTACTTGAGACGGATCTCAACAATTTACAAATTGAATATAATAAATATTCTAAGATCGACACGGCGAATGAAGAAGCCATTGTTATCGCACAGAAACGAGAAAAGCAAGCGCAAGAGACGATCAGAAATAAAGAATCAGAATTTCAGAGGCAGTTGAAATTCGAATTAGAAAAGGAGGCATACAACCATAAACGAATTGAAAATCTCATGTGCACGATAGAGTTGTTTAAAACGAAAAACATGGAACTGACAAATAGCATTGAAGGCCTCGAAGTTAATCGAAAGCAACTGAAGAATATCATCGACTTGAAAAGTAACGAATTAATGAAAAGCAATCAAATCAATCAGAAAATGCAGGCCGAATTGGAGCAGCTAACGGAAACTTACAACGATTTGCATAAAGAACTGGAAGAGAAAAAGTTATGTATCGCGGAAATCAAGGAACTTCTGAAAACTAAGTGCGATGAGCTGACAGAGTATAAAATTAATCTGGAGACGATCGTGCCCGAAAACAAGCTGCTGAAGCAACAGATTAGTGAACGGAAAGCCACCATAGAGCAGTACAAGGTGGAAATAGAGACTCTGAAAATGGAAAATAAAAAGGAGATTGACGCGATTAAAGATCAATTGAACTTTGAAGAGCTAAAGAGCATGGAGCTAAACAAACAGACAGCTGAATCAAATAATAAACACATGGCTTTGATAGAAGAGATGAATGCTTTGAGGGACAACTACACAACGTTAAAACATAAGTGCGCGATGTTAGAAAAGCGAGTCATGAACAGTACGAGTAAAGCCCAAGCGGAAGAACAAATGGAAGAACTGAAAGACTTGAACAGGTCTTTGCGAAATAATTTGGACGGTGCTAGCAATCGAATAACGGAGTTGCAGGCTGTGAAAACCGATCTGATGAACCAAGTGATTACTTTAAGCAGTCAATATAATGCGGCGTGCAAGGACAATCAAAAATTAAAGGAAACACTATCATCGTCCAGACATAACGATACATATACTGCCTGCGAGAAGTACGACAATTTGTTACAAGAGAAAAACAAAATTGCATTAGAACTGGAAGCAACGAAAGTTCAGTTGAATCAGAAAAACAAAGATATCGAGAATTATCTCCACGAGATAAAGGAGTTGAACGAAAAAAACACGGAACTTGATAAAGAATTAGACGAGTTGGCGGCTGTTATTTGCGAGTACGACGCAAGTAATGCGATATTTCAAGATAAGTATTATACATGTCGTGCTGAAGCTGACGAGCTACAAGACAAGATAAAAACTCTTGAGAAGAAAACTCAAATTAATCTGTTGCAAACAAACACGTCCTCCAACAAGGCCGAAAAGTTTCACGATGATGAATGTAGTTGCGCAATATTGAATAACAAAATACGGGAGTTGCAGTTAGAGGTAGTATCAAAGAATGGAAAGATCGCAACGTTAGAACTGCAAATACGTAGCGGAAGTTTCCCTTATCAAATGAAGTGTAAAGAACTACAGGAACACCTATCAGCATATAGTAACAAAGTACTTTATTTATTTTAATTATTATCAAGTTTATGTAAATATAAGTATAATTTGATAAATACACGTTGTTTTTACAGAATAGCGAGCTGAAAGCGGAAATTAAGCGATTGCAGATGGCTATGATACGTATAAGTGTAAAGGAATGCGATGTATGTGAACAGAGACTAATAAACAGGAGACATCAGGCATGCCAAACAATGCCGGAAATATTGAAATTTTGTGGCACGAGCAGCGGCGTAATCGATGTAAGTATATGTCAATACCTATTTCAGAATTAAAGCATGCAATGTCCGGGATTTGAAAATAAAAGGGAAGAAATATACAAAAATGCAAGAACAATTTTGTTTCATTGATTGCTGTGCCTTCACCTTATTATCATTATTATTAATTATTTTATAAATTATCTTATATAATACTAATTAATGATATAATTTCATATAGGACGAGATAAGAATAACGAAATTGGAGAAGGAGAAACAGATCATGAGGGACGTGTGTCGAACTAGATCAAAGACTATAAAGGAACTCGAGAAGCAAATAGAAGAATACGAAAAATTATTAAATTCGAAAAATTCATGATTTGCGAGAACGTTCATATGCCATGTATACATGTATTGTAAGGAGAAACAGATCATGAGGGACGTGTGTCGAACTAGATCAAAAACTATAAAGGAACTCGAGAAGCAAATAGAAGAATACGAAAAATTATTAAGTTTGAAAAATTCATGATCTGCGAGAACATTCATATGTCATGTATACATGTATTGATTACTATATATATTTAATTACTATGTATATTATGTGATCTGTGGCCTTTCATCACATGGTATTTAATAATAAATTGATCTAAAGTTTGCATAACATATAGAACATATAAAATGTAAATATCGTAATTTTTAATTTTAAGATAATTGTATACATCGATTAATAACGATATATTTTTTACTAATTTTACACGTGTTTACCAGTTTAAGAAAATATAATTCCTGTGATATACATATAATGAAATATAACTTAATCAGAATATATATATATATATATATAGTGTGTGTATAATATATAAATATTATATGACCGAGATAAATCGATAGTTATAAATTAAATTTATCCGCCGCTTACATTGTGCCTTTTTACATATTTATTATCTTGTCTTATATGTAATTTCAAAAATAATAATATAATCGTAATCATTATGACCATTTTTTAAGAACGGGCACTGGCGGACTCTGTATTTTTGTATAAGGATAGGATAGGTTAAGATAAGGTAAGTATATTTTATTTATTTCAATATGAATTTAAATAGAAAAGGAAGAAAATTAAATAACGTAAGCTTAGAGAATTCCAATTTTCGTGGCTAGATGAAAATTTTTTAAAGGGATGCTAAACCGATTATCTAACTCGATCAAGGTCGATAGTACAGACTTTTTAAATTCCAAATTCGATAATAGTGGTGACATTTTTGATTTAGTTTTTACATTATATTATATAATATATATCATTCTGTCTTAAGCCTTGTGTCCACGATGCTAGAAATCGGTCCGAAACCTCGGATGAAGAGAGAATTGACCAATCGCAATGGTCATGTGATCAAATTGTTCAAATGTGATTTGTTAATTTTTTCTCTGTCCGAGATCTCGGACCGATTTCTAGTATCGTGGACATTGGGCTTTACTCAAACGCATACATCTGTTCTTATCTAACATATGTCAGCACCATTTATCGCAAGACCGCGCAACTACTGCTACACGGAATTTCGGCTCTGTTGACAGTCTTCGCAAAGCACCTTTATATACGTATTTTCTATTCGGTGGAAATATTTCTTTTCTAGACTTTCAATCTTACAAATAAACCTACCCAAGTGCCACCCGCCGATCTTAATGAAACTTGGCATACTTTCAAAACACCGAAAAATATTGGATACGTATTTTTTTATA